ACGTTAATTAATTAATCTGAATCAACTTTGTGATCTTTTCGTTGAAATTTAAATAAAATAAAAAACTTATCAATTAGTTTTCTAAGCATCTATTAATTTGTGTTTCTAGTATTAGTATATTATAATGTAATAATTAATAACAAAATTAAAACTCTAAGAAGTATTGATAATCAAACTAAATATAATGAATGTTCTAACAGAGTAGTCGGTAACCGGCGGCCGCGGGTCGTATCCAACACACACGTATCTTTTTTACGGTCCGCATTAAATTCCAAAACTAGGAAATTTCATTGAGAATCCTATAAATTTTTTGTATTGTTTGGCCCGTGATCCATTTTTAATTTGTGAGTGTGGTCCAAGGGTCCAAAAAAGTTTCTCACTACTGTTCTAACACATTATAATAACTATAAATATATATTTATTTGTAGCAACAGAGTACAAATTAAGAACAAATAAAATAAAAATAAACAAGTTGCAAACACATCCAATAAAAATATGCTGGAAACTAATCAGTTGAGTTGATACTAAAAGTATTAACAAAAAAATAATTTTATTACATAAGAATATAATACTAAAAAATTAAATTAACAAGATAATAAACGTTTAAATACAAGAAAAAATGTTGTTTAAATATTTTATTTTATTTTATTTTATTTTTTGGTGTTAGCGGCTTCTAGGACCATCCCAGCATATATCCACCATTTCATACATCTCGGTTAGTTGCTCGCATCTTCCAATAATTTCCTCTTTAGCTCATCCACATTATTTTTTACTACATCTTCCCATCTCATTCTTGGTTTTCCAATGGGTCTTTTTACTGTGGGGTTCTTTTCCAGTACTGTACGGAGTGTGAGTTTTGGTTTCTTCAAGCGTGTCCTGCCCATTTTAGTCTCTTAGTTCTTATTGCTTCCACGATGTTCGGTTTTTGGTATAATGGGTCTAATTCCTCGTTTTTCCTTATCCTCCAATCATTAGTTATACTGTCCTTCACAGGTCCAAAAATTCTTCTTAGTATTTTTCTTTCAAAAACTAGGAGTCTTTTCTCGTCGGTTTTTCGAATTGCCCAAGTCTCTGTTCCATTATTAACAATCGGTCTTATTAAGGTAGTATATAATTGCTTTTTTAATTCCCTTGACAAGGATCGAGCTCCTAACAGATTCGCTAGACTGAGAAAGCATTTGTTTCCAGCCTGGATTCTTGCTTTTATCTCTTTTGTTATTTGATTATCTTCTGTTAGAATCGTCCCCAGATACTTTAACCGATCCACTCTATCGAAATTATACTGATCTATCCTTAAGGAGAGGCCTAATTTTACCTTGATTTGCCTTCTAACCACCATATATTTGGTTTTCTTTACTTGTTGACGCGTAAACCTATTTTTGCTGATGACTTTTCTAGCCACCTGAATAGTGACTTAAATTATTTTTTTGATTCATTTACCAGTACCAGGTCATCTGCGTATGCCAATAGTCCTATAGTATGACCCTGTAAGTTTATTCCTTCATGCTGTCCCATATTCATTTCCTTTACAATTTTTTTTCAATGCATTATAAAATAATATAGGCGATAAAAAGTCTCCTTGCCTTAGTCTTGTCCGTACTTGTACTTGTTCCGATTTTATATTTCCCACTCTTACTTTAATATACGTTTCCATAATACTTGACTTGATAAGATTTATAAGTTTGTGTGGGAAGTGAAACTCTACCAAAGTACAAATAAGACTCTCGGTGTAGGCTACATATGCTTTTTGGAAATCGACAAAAAGTATATGCATTCCCTTATTGAACTCCTATGTCTTTTGTAAAACTTGTCTGACAATAAATATTTGGTCAGTTGTCGATCTACCTGACCTAAAACCGCCTTGATATTCTCCAATTACATTTTCAGATGTCTTTTTCATACTTGATAGAATGCAGCTAGTAAATATTTTGTATGCTACATTTAAGAATACTATTCCCCGGTAACTGTTGCAGTCCTTTTTATCTCCCTTCTTCTCCCTTCTTATATATGGGACATATCATCGCTGTTATCCAGTCTTCAGGTATTTCTTCTGTTTCCCATACTTAAGTGATGATTTTCCGTATTCTTTGAATTAGTTCCTCTCCTCCATTCTTTATCAATTCTGCTACTATCTCGTCCTCTCCAGGTGGTTTGTGATTCTTTAAATTTTGTATCTGGTACTTGATTTCCTCTAAAGACGGACTTAGGCATTGTTGATCATTTCTGGTGTTCTGACTGAGAGGGAAAATTTCGCTTGGCTCTTCGCAGTTTAAAAGCTTGTCATAGTAACTTGCCCATTTTGTGGCCAATTCTTCCTCCATAGTTATCAAAGATCCATCATCGTTTTTCAAAAATCTCTCCTTTTTTCTGTAGTCTCCTTTAAGGTTTATACTCTTTGATTTAGGTCCTTCGTTGTATTGATTTTATATTCCATTTCTGCGCCATCAATCATTCCTTTTACGTATTTCCTCTTTTCACACCTTAAAATGTTATTAGTTTTCCTCCGACAGTGTTTATACCTTTCTAAGGTTTCGTTATTATTTATGTCCTCTAGCCATTTCTGTCTTACCAATTTCCTCCTCTTAATCGCTTCTTCACATAATTTGTTAAGCTAGGGTTTAGATATCGACTTCGCCCTACCAAGAACTTCCATAGATGCATAATTTACAATTTTCTTTATCTGTTTCCATGTCTCATTTACAGATTCATTATCACTTTGCTTTTTTTTTTTTTAGAATGTTGTCTATCTTGTTCTTATATTTTTCACATATCATTTTTTCACTAAATTTATCAATATTATAGTTATTCCTCCTTGTTGGTTTGCAGTTTTTCGTTTTCTTAAATTTTACTTTCATCCAGCATCCTACCAGCAAGTGATCCGAATCTGAGTCGGCTCCTTTTAATGTTCTTATATTCTATATGCTATTCTTATAACGGTTATTTATGAGGATGTGATCTATCTGGTTTTTATAAAGTCCATTTGGTGCTATCCAAATACTTGTATCCAGTATACTTGTGTATATCTTTCCATGGAAACATCGTGCTTTTAACAACTAGGCCCTTTCTAGCCGCAAAATTCACTAGCTTAATACCATTGTCATTCAATAACTCGTGTAGGCTATGTCCCGTAATTATGTCCCGTTAATATCTTTCTCGGCCTATCTTTGCATTGAAGTCACTCAAAACTAGAATAATGTTTCCCTTTGCAGATTCATGCACGTCTTCCAATATGGTATAAAAGAGCTCTTTTTCTTCTTCATCTTTTTCATCAGTTGATGCGTAGACATTTATTAGTACTACAGCCATATTATCTGTTCTTAGGGTTATGGTCAATATTTTTGGGTTTATGTCCTTAAATTCTCTTACTGCATATATGATAGATTCGAGTACTGCGAAACCACTTTTTAATTGATGATTTTGTTTACACTTGCCACTGAAAATTGTTGTTTTTGATATTTTGGTTGTTGTAGAATCATCCCATCTTACTTCTTGTAATGCTATACACTTCATTTCATACCTCTCTACCTCTTTAACTAAATCCGTAACCGCTCCTGGTTTGTACAGGGTCCGTACATTTATTAAATATTTCTTATAGTTATTAAAGTCATTAAAGTAATATAAATTAATATTATATTTACGTAGTTTTTAAAAACTCATTTAATTATTGGATTTTGTGTTTCAAAATTAGTGTGAAAATGTGATATAACTAAGTTACAATTTTTTATTATTGTATTATAATATTATTCTAATAGTTCTAATTTTATGCTCAGAGTAAATTAAATTATTAGAATACAATTTTAGTTTTCTTAAAATAATTTTAATCAAAAAATTAATATTAGTAGATAAAAAATTAATATGTGTAGAGTAAGTAGGTACAGTTTTACACAGAAATACCATAGGATAATACCGATTGAGCTAGAACAAAATAGATAATTCTAAGAGTTCTGATGTCAAGCATTTTCAAGCAAGTATTTCTAAGTAACCTAAACTTATATTATAATTATCTAATAAGATTGTTTACGTTATTTGTATATTCAATACATTTTAATTTATAGTCAACTACATATAATCATCGCTGGTAAACGTGTATGTAATTATACATAATAGTGTCAGTTTTATAAAATATTCACGTACTAAAGGAATAGGTTTTAATTTTTAAATGTATAAATCAGATTTATTTATTAAAATTATAATACATTTTAATGGAGAAACATAAACATTTTTAAAAATGAAACTTAATTTGAGTTAAAAATTAATTATAATCAAATTATCGTAATCATATCTAATATTGAATACCGAAATAATTAATAAATTAAAAACAAGCATATTTTGATGAGTCAATAGTATTAGAATAAAAACAAAATTTCTTATAGTATATGGGTTACATCTTTAACTAAAGGTTTTAGTGTCACATAATGTTTTTATTAGCATCATTCGAATTTTGTTTTCAACTGGCAGCCAGAGTACTCTTTGAAAAAATAAATGGATAAATAGATTGGACAACATACGGTGAATATGCGGACGTCTATTTGTAATGAATGTATGTATACATCTTGAGGCTCTGGAAATCAATAATGTATGTTATCTCGGCAAAACGGTTATCGCTTGGGACCATAATATAATGTGGACCATTATAATGTAAAAGCCTTTTTTTAGATGATATTAAATTATGAATTAATTTTTTTATAATTATAACACATTAATATAATATAGTTTTATATATTTGAAACGATAGCAAATTAATAGTTAGGTCAAGTGTTTATTTCACATCAAAAGTCTAACAGAATATTATTCTTGAACACCCTTTGCGCAATGGCGCTTAAAAAAATGTATTTAATGCTTGACCTACATGTACAATAGAACTTTTTTTTTTTAATTCTACCAAAATTTACTTCTTTTGTGTATTTGATGTAAAAAAAAAGCAAATGAAACACTATTCAATGCACTAGCAACCAATTAATAACGATTAAGCGTATAATTATTTTTCTCTTTTTTTTTAGGATGCCAATCATCAGTGCGACCAAAATTGTGAATATAGTACTCCCCATATAAACAACGACTTATCTGACGACGGCGGCTCAACGGCATTCGAACTGGTAAATTTTTCCTACCCTATTAAATTTAGTGGTTGTAGAGATATGTTTGTTTCTGTTTTTTTTGTCATACCACTGACCAGTGTATTTAATAACTTGAACAAAAACAACAGTGGACGAAAACATTTAGGACATTTCAAGTATTTGATGATAGCTCGATTAGATTAGTTTCTTACGTGACCTTTAGTTATTATTAGTGATTATTCTCGGAGGATGTCCATCTTTAAAGAACTGTCCAGATGTCAAGGGTTGATGACGCATTTTGAAGAAATATTTTTTAAATGGCATATCAAAGGTTCGAAAAATCTAAAGAAAGATTGAAGAATCATATTTAACATTTAAAGAGCAAACCCTTGTAACGTTTTACAAAGTCGACCTTTCTTCGATCGTGTGTATGTAAAATAAATATTTTGACAATTGTTAGTTTTGCCATTAAAAAGTCGTATGAGAAAAAAAATTACATTTTAAATTATAGTATTCGTTTGGATAAAAAAAACTTATATTTTTCTTTTAAGTTAAAAAAATAATCAAAGCTATAATTCTTTAACCAGTTAAACATTTAAGTTTAAAATATTTAAATAACAAAAATTTAGGATAGATAATAAATAAAATAATAAGATCATTGTATCATTATAATGGGATTGAAATTTAAATGAAAAATTATAAATATTCTAATACTCAGTACCAATGTATTTTTTTTTTTTTTTATTGAATTTCAAATAAAAATTTATATTATAAAATTAAGAGAGAACAATCATAACCAGGGCTTGGAAGTTCTAGCAAATGCATATTTTTCTTGGTTCATCCTAGAACATCCAAAGTAAGATACAAATATGTTTCTTAATTTAATTTTGCTATTTTTTGCATATTTACAGGTTTTATTGTTATTTTGCTAATTTAGGGTTTATAGCGCTATTTTCGGGTATATTTTCACATAATGTAGAAAATAATCACATTTTGTTGATAATAATTGTATTTACTTAGTTATGATTTTAAAAATATTTTAATTATCGGAAATAAATAGACCTCATCAAATATTATTTTATGTTTTCATCCACAATTTGATGTATTAGTAGTTAGTTTTTATTCTCTTATTATATCATTGAATTAAATTATCAATCATTTTAATAATCTAGGTTAATTTCCAAGGTAAATATATAAAATAATTTAATAATAAGTACATTTTTACAAATATCTTTAAGTAATTTAATATTTTTATTAACAGTTTATAATTCAATCAGTCTAGACTGTGTTTAATGAGCCCAATAATTTGTAAAAATTATATTTTTTCAAGTTAAATGCATATTTTTTTGATTTTTCGTGCTATTTATAGCGCATATTTTAGAGTTTTTAAATGTTTATTTAAGAGCTTAAAAGTAAAATTTATAGTGCTACAACTTCCGAGCCCTGATCATGAGCAAAATAATCATTGATTTAATCGCTTGTAATGAAATTATTTGATTTCTCAATAAGGTTTATAATATTTTTATACTTGCAATTTATATAATTTCACATATTTATTATAATCTTAATATTATGTGAGTTGTTGTTTTTTTTTATTAAATTTAGGAATATGTATATGTTTATTACATTTAAAGTTTTTAATACCTATTTTACAATTATATTATATAATAAATAATATAATATTATGTTTAAGCAGAGTAAACTCTAATGTATATGTACTTAGAGTTAATATAATTTTAATTTTTTTAAAATTCATAGAGTAACGAATGAATAGAAAGTCTTGAAACATTTTGCATGTTAAAATGGTATAGAACATTTCGAATAGGGACAAATGGACGTAGCCGTTTGGACGTGGGGACAAATGGACGTAAAAAAAAAAAAAAATATTTGTATATATTTATAAGTTATAAAACCATTGATATTTTATGTTTATAATATAACTAATGGCATCGTATCATAATATGAAACCTAATCTAATTTTATCGTTTTGGCAATAGGTAGTACCTTTTATATCAACTTTTATATAACTTATTGGTTTTTAAAACTTGTAATAATTATCACACTTTATCGAAACACGGTGATAAACGAGACACGACAATACACCTCCATAACCGTGTTAGTCGTGTACAAATTGCATTCAAGTGTACATGTAAGATGTCATTAATTAATTCAAATCGCGATGGTGAATTTTTTTTGAATGAATATTTTTGTTATTGCAATTTACATATTAAAATAAATATTAATAACTTATTTATTTTATTTACTGATTTATATATATATATATATATATATATATTTTTTTGACGTTCATTTGTTCTCACGTCCAAACGGCTACATCCATTTGTTCTAGATTGAGAACATTTAAACATTTTAACTTTCTATGGACTCCATAATATATTATTTTTATTTTTATAGTTCGTTAAAATATACGTCGAATAATGTAGTCATATTATCTCTTTTTTTTTTTATTTCATTAACAATATATTTTTTATTTTATTAATGATATCTTCAATTGAAATGTTTAATTCTTAGCCATGTTGACAGATAATTTTATTAGAGTTCTAGACAATATAATTTCTCTTATACCCTTTGGATAAAATGTAGTACCCTAGTTGAACTTGTGTGTTCGCACTTGAATTTGTATTATGAGGTTACTGGGATTATAAGTTACTGGACATACATAAAATATATAATATTCTAATTTTTAATTTAGCTGTTTTTAAGTTACTGAATTACAAATGTTGTGGACGTGTGTATTTAAAACCGAGTATGTTAAGCGATTTCATTGTCATTTGAAGGTGGTTCATTGTTCTTTAACTGTTTACTTAAAAATAATTTCCCAACTAGAGAACAGTTTTATTTTAAAACTATCTGTCATTTAAAATTTTAATCCTTTTTAAGTTCATAGAAAATGAAAAAGCACAAAAAACAGAATTTTAGTTAGTTGACATAAAAGTAATATTTTGATATTTTGACCTTAGTCGCTATTATGTATCAATATTTCATAATTTATATAATAAATAATAATTATGGTCGTCATGCTCCATATATTTAAATATTAAATTAAATCCCCGTTATCTTAGATATTTTAATTTTTTTATTTAAAAAATTCAAATAATTTAAAATAAAATACAATAATGAATATCATTAATAAAATGTATAGTTAATTTTATTTTGACTACATAATTTTTAAATATGATTTATTGTATTAATTTAGTATAACTAATTATTATTAACTAAATAAGGTTCGCCATGATTTTAATTATAAATTAAAAATAGGTTTTCAAGAAACGTTTTTATAACGCTTTATACTATTAATTTTTATTGAAATTAATATACAGTTTTCTGTTTACAATTAAATTAGTTTCTCTTTTACCTTATTTTAAAGTTAGTTTTGTACACCACAAGTTAAGAGTCAAGAATTTGCTGAGGATCTGACCACATTAGTATTTTCGGTAGCTTATTAGAACGATACGTTAGATTTTGATCTTTTTTCTAAGTAGTATTTTTAAAAACTCGTTGGTCATTAATGATTTAAGAATTTAAAAATATTTAGGAACGAGAATTTATCTAAAACCTACCCTTTTTGTTAATATTCTCAACTATACTTAGGGATTATAACTATTAATTTATCAGTTTTATATAAAAATACATATATATATATATATATAAATATTTATACATTTAAATACATCTCTTTAAGATATAAGAAGACCTATTTAACTTTCTTTTAAAAATTCAGAAATGATCATTTACCGAATACTCCTTAACCACTCCAAATTTTCATAAAATTCGGGAATCAGAGCCATCTTTGGCTTAGCAGTTGTCTTTGGGCATACAGAGTTTAAGGATCCTTTTAAAAGCAAGTGTATGATTATTATGACATATTACATACTAATTTCCAAATGATAAAAATTAATTGGAATTCGAAACTAAGTTTTTAGACCTACCTCTTAGTTCAAAAATGTATTAACGATATTTTTTACAATCTATCACTTATCACTAACCTATCATTTCGATAACTTGTTTATTAAATGTATCACTAAAAACGTAATCGTCGTATTTATAGCATTTCAATTTTAAGTTGAATAATATTTAATATTATTTTTAAATTATAACTTATTATTTAAGCGTGATAGTCAAATATTTAGTTGAGATATGTTGCGTCAATATGTTATAATGTAAAGATGTAAATTATATTTGATGTAGCCTCCTTCGGTCGTTGGCCCCATTAGTTCAGGGCCTTGGGCTCATGTCTCACGTTCCTTTAGATTAAGGGTGAAATATCGGTAGTATAAATATAGGTACTTATTATAATTTAACGGTGATTCGGTGTTGATCCTAAAGTATTCAGCATACACAAAGAATAACAGTTTATAACCAACACGAATCCTTACTTAAGACTAGTTACCCAAGTGATCAGCTTGAATATATAATTTAATTATATTTTAATAATTAATGTTTCTGGCTTTCGTATTGTACTAGATTTTATTTTAAACATACTTAAAATTTGTGAAGTATAAAATGTACAACATGGCATTTTTCTTAAAACATAAATTACAATATAAGGTTATGATTTTTATTATATGTATTGGTATTGTTGTGTAATATACTAATATATTAGAGCGGTACTTATTTTTTAACATGGAAAATTTGATGCAAATACCTCAAATTTTGTTCTATAAAATAAATAAAAAAATGATGGTAAATTTTTAGTATGATAAGTTAACCGTGCCTCGAGGGGTTAAAATATTAAAAATGAGGGTGAATATTAATTTTTTGCATTTAATCTCTTAAGTTTTAAAATTAGGCAAAATCTTTACATTGCCAATTTTGTAGTTTATGCTATTTTCTATAAAAAAATCTTCTAAGATATTTTTATGTAACTCTATTTTTATAAAATTAAGAAAACATTGAAAATATTTTTATATAATATGTAATATGTTTATATGAATTTTAAATTATATATAATAATTGGCATAGACTGTAGATTTAGACAATATATATTAGGTATGTTTTTTTGTATTATGCATTGTTCC